GACATCAGTCTTGAAAATCCGGATGTTGTTCACGCTTCATTCTGGTTGCAGTGCAGTGCAGCACAGTACAGTGCAGTAGATCTCCACACTCATTTCTAATTAGTGAAGGCCTGTCTTGCTGTCTCTCCCATCCTGGCTACTTTGACATCCCCATCTATGCCCGCGCTCGTGCCTGTACATGTACCTGTGTCACCTGTAGTTGAAATGATGCTGCCTGTCTAGGTAGGCAGGTGAAACAGACTACTTCCTTCACATTTATCCCCCTCATGGTGATTGCTGCTTGTTATCCATGTTGGTGTTGTTGTTGCTGTCATCGTTGGTTGGGTATCTTCATCACCTTTGTCTTCTCAACATCCACCTGAAGGAAGTCCCGAATTCCTTTGTTGTCACACCTCTCCTATCAACTTGTTGATTTTCGCCACTAGATCTTCGAGTTTATGTCATAACTCATTGGATATGAATCATCATCACTGGCCAAATACAAACCATCCACCAATGGTCTATTCATCTGTCTAGTAGGATATGCCCATCTTCTCACAACTCCTCACAACTGTCTGTTGCATGATACAGTCGAGTCCTGACCAGTTGACCACAATCAGGAAGATGATGGATGATGATGGTAGACCACAACCTCGTCTTACTCCATCATGTTCCCTGTCTTCACTTAAAAGGCTAATACATCCCATTCCATTTAAGTGTTATTTTTATGGTTCGAGCCATCAGTAAAATCCAGGACTGTGTTTCACCAACATGATGTGTTCGCATCCCAGTGATTGATGGTGTTTCCATTGAAATTCAAACCTGGCAGTTATTGTTTAAAACACTGAAGCTTCGGCTACTGACCCACTCAGTTATGACAACCACCTCTTGTACAAAAGGGGTTAGCTGTCAGTGGATCCTACTGTCAACCGCAGTCAAAGAAATGGTATACGGATCCGTTTGCTGATGTAAACCACTCACCTTGAATGCTATGAGTTGGTATACGGCTTGGATATACAAATCTTTTTAGGTAAGACTGAAGTAAAATCTGTTAATTACTGCATGAAATTAGTGTGTATAAACCATTTCCCCAAAAATTCTATTGACTGTATGCACAGTTCTACTGAATGAATGTGAATGATATGAAATTAATGTGGCTTCAAGTACAGCTGTGTGATAAAGTTTCTCAGAAGTATACTCAAACCCGATCAATTTCAAAACCGTTTTTCTTTTCATATCTTTCTCATATGAATGAAACTTAATAAACCGTTAAGAGAAATATGCTAGCTCAGTAAGCAAATGATATAGTTTAGATTACTCCTCTTGAATATTTTTCTTTACCTTCTGATCTACAGTTATTGAAGCTAGAGATCCCCTTAACTCCGCATCACTTAACACTGGTGATTGAGACATATTTAAAGCGTTTATCAATACTGCAATTCATGTACACAATTCAAGGTTTGTTTGTAGGCTTTCAGATCACCTTTCCTTTCTGAAATGTCTCAAAATCAATAGTAGTGTGTGAGAAAATGGGAAATCCAATGGGTGATTAGAAGAAGGGATTCAATAATTTGCATCGTAAATTGATATCGATTGGAGAGTTAGTGAAAAACTATTAGCATTGGACAGCTGTAAGAAAGAGATCATTGGATTCCAACTCAATGACTAAATAATAACACGCTTTTCGTAAAGACTAACGGTTGTTGGCTCGATTCCTCATATGATCGGAGATGAACATTGCATAAAAGTCCTAAACTAGGATGAAGCGGTTGTCTGTTACTTCCAGGTTTTCAGTAACACATTACTTCAACGTTTTACATATTCTTCTTCAAGTAAATCAAATTTAGAAAAAAATCTGTTGAAATGGAATATGTGCAATGAAAATAATCTACTGTTGAAGCGCATAGATTAGAATTGAATAATATAGTAAAACATTAAGAGGTAAGATGCATCAGCAACAAATTTCTCACTTCATAAATAGTCATGTTTTCTTCTACTGAACACTTCCTATCCAAGTAAAATGTATCTTGAATTAGAACTAATCCTTGCCAGTCAATTAATGCCTGTATTAAAAGCTCACAGATGCAGCTGATTGAAAAACTGAATTGCAGTAGAATCAGTTAATGCATCCTTTGTACTAGTTGTCTTGTGCTCTGTCAAAAGATCTAAAGTACAAACTGGTTACAGAGAGCAGAAGTTAAAATAAAACTTTCGTAACATCTACTGATTGGATACTTGTAACTTCTAGCCAATTATTATACTGAACTGAATTGAATTCTCTATGTTCGAGTATAGGCTTCTTGAACGTGTGCACCGATACTGGAACCATGTTAATTAATAGACACTTAGGAAGTATCAGCCAAATAAGAATGTAACTGATATACCTAGCAGAAAATGTAACTCTTATGGTGTATTGGCTTCGTGGGTAGCATTTTGGTGCTTGAAGTGATAGACTCTTAGTCTCAGTCCCAATGGGACCACAATCACTTATTAGATACAAGTACATCTAGCTGACAAGTCTTAAACATAAAAAAACAAGCATCTAGAATTTCACTGCTAGCCACAACCAAGCAGACTTTCTTACCGGTTGTTTCTTGTAGCTACAACCGATAGCTGCAAGGTTACCAATTAGAAAGACACTGTAACCTACGTAAGGCTACACTTTTATTCAGCATCTGTTTATCAAAATTAAAATCTATGATCTAAAGTTATTACCGATGTTATAAGTATAAGCATTGAACTGATCGCATGAATTATGCAGTCATGCTCCTCTATATTATTATTTATTATTTGTCCCTTGGGTTCCTAATAGAACATAGGGATTCAGTAGCACGTCTCCATTACACTCTCTTCTCTCAAATCTTCTCAACCTGACTCCAACACTGCCCACAAGCTCTCATTTCCTCCTCACACCATCTCTTCCATATCACTCTCAGTTAGGAGCCCAACTCGTCGCTTCCCATTGGAGTTCCACTCGAGTGCCTGGCCTGGTGCGTGATGTTCCCAGTCGGCCTTCTCAGTGTATGCCCAATCCAGTTCATCTCCACTCCCTTCTGCATATTTGTTCAGCGATAACCTCTTGTTTGGTTCGTTCCAGTCAGAGTCCCTTATTGCTGATTCTTTCTGGCCATCTGATCTTCAGTAACGAGCCAACGTAGGCAGTTGTTGATGAATATCTGTAGTTTGTTGCAAATGCCTTTCGTAACGCGCCAAGTCTCTGAACCATACAGGAGCATTGACTTGACGTTGGTGTTGAAAATCCGTATCTTGTTCCACATGCCGAGTGCAGAAGAACTCCACACTGGTTTCAGGCTAATGAACGCCTGTCTTGCTTTTCCTGATTAATATTTGCCACTATGTCAATGTAATTGACAAGAATAAAATATTTGGCAAGTGAATCAACAATGAGAACACACTATTTACCTTTTATACCTTTACTCAGATAAATGTTAAACTTCACAACCTGAAAGGAGAATATAACACATTAAGGAATATACTTCATGACTAGGAGACCTCCTTAAATCACATTATATAACTTCACAACAGTTTTAAATTTTTTATCAGAAAATTGAAAAATTCAGTTCAAGCCTAGTGATTTCATAAACTTCAACTACACAAAACTAGATAAAAGTCTTTCCTACTTTTTTATGCAAAAACTTCAAGGTGAGTTTTATGTTTTTATTCATTCTTATTTTAGATTATGGCAGCTATGTATTCATTGAATCAATAAATAATTTAGGCTGAAGGTTTGTTAGATCCTTAACGATCTCATTTTCACACCTAAATAATACCTTACCTATCAGCTTAATTAAGATATTAGGTGAAGATAACTTTAACAGGAGTAATAAGGTTGCTTAACTGATGTGAAAGTACGCGGAAGCCACAGAAATTAGTGGATCCACAGTCTCACCAACTCTCTAATAGTAGCTGTGCTTTTATCTTTTACAATAAACACTAAAGAACTATTTTTTAAGAGATGAAATTACCAAGTTAGTAAAATACGAAATAAGCTGCTATCCTTTACGGTAGAGCTTTAAGTGATTATCTTGTCATCATAAGATATGAAAGTTCATGGAGATTATGAATATCTCACCAGTACATACGCAATCCATTTCTATCCAGTCACCTATAATGTGATGGCTTCTTTCTTTGAGTTTTACTTTTCTTTGTTTGAATTTTCAATAGCGATTAGTTCTGCTCATTTGACTGAACAGTCATAATCGTTTTCTGTTTTACTGATCAAATCTGCTAATTTCATTGTATAAAAATGATCTAATTGATTGTAACCATATTATAAGGATGTTAATTGACTGACCACAATAACCTATCTTTCCAAAAACATAACGTTCACCTGTTATTTGAAGGTGAATAATAGTACTGGACTTCACTGATCTTAATGCGTAGGTTGATATTGCAACCTGTGACCCATAATTTCAAGGTCATACACATGAAATGAAATTTCAGTTTGATAAGAATATTAGTTTTCAAGAAGTTATGTTACAAGACACTCGTACCTCTATAAATGTACCCTTATTCATGAAGCTGAACAGCCAGGCTTTTTAGCCATCTTGGCAATGCCATTATCTCCTTGTCATGGAGTAAATTTGAAAGTGTGGTTCAAAATTAATTCTGTGTACACACACACGCACTACCAATAGGACTTGTTAACGAGACTCGTAGAATATATACTTTTGAGTAATCTGATTGGTCGGAAAATACTATAAAATCAATCGCCTGTTGACCAATCATATTGCGATTGTGTGTTTTACTGATACACTGTGCATCTGTTAAAAAAATATATATTTTCCATCTTTGTTCAAATATTTTATTACTTCTGCTAATTATCCATTCATTTATCGAATAAATGCATTCAAAATCAGTTGAGGAATAAAAAGAGATATCCTAGATTCTTAAATCTACAGAATTCTGGTGAAGGGATCAGTCACTTTGAGAATGTTGCACAGTATCATTGATTTATAAGGAAATAACAGCAGTGACGTAATTAAAAATCATCCCGAAAAATGCCCTCAACAACACCGTATGAACGTGTACGTAATCTCTACTCACGTATATCACGTTATATACCAGAACTCCATCCAGAACCAGCCCCTTTAATTAAAGATTATGGGCCTTGTCCTTATTTTTATAAATTACGCCTTGGTACAAGAGATTTGGTTGAAAAGTTTAACGGAGATATGCTGCCATCCATTAGTATAAACAGATCATCATCTGTGCCAAGAGATTCAATTGGCGCGCATTCTGACGAAGTAAAGATTCAAGATTTTCAATGGCTTATGAATAAAAAGTTAACTTGTGTGCTGTTATGGTTAGGTGTCATTATATTGATTGTTGGGATTATTGCCTTACAGATTGCAAGCTTTTTTCTGCATAAAAGACAGTAAGTGTTATATATGAAACTAATTGTTGCTACATGAAAAAATTAATTTTTTCACTTAATTTGCATGATTTACTGTAAATGTTGAAATGAAGAAAGCATCGAAAGTTTATTGCATGCTACTCTGACATGTCAGTAGTTTTTATCCTCACCCTCATTTAAGATTGAATACACAATCTAGAGGCTGGGAATAGATGATTTTATCCTTAAGATATTAGGTTGGAGTTCTATGATCTCACTTGCTTTTAAAATAATGACCATCATCCAATGTAAAAGATGAACATCCATGCCCATACTCCAACTTGAATAGACACCGATAAGAATAAAAGTTCAGTAATGATTAAATAAGTTGTTGCTCGTTTTCTCTACAGATTACCAGACTAATAAGCCATTAACTGAGTTAAGACGCAAAAAATCACTAATCTGGTACTAACTGAAACTTACATTGATTGGTCACTGGAGTGTAACCAATTTCATATTGTCTAGTCCTGAATGAGGGTCGAATTTCATCAATCATTTTGTAATGCAGCCATTGAGCTAGAAGACTCACCATAGAATGGCATTTTGACAGATATCGATTGCCGCTAATAAACAAACTCCAGTTTACTTACTGATTCATCGTTATGACTTTTGTTGTGCATAATAACTACCTGCTAGATGTATAACTATTACAATAGTCATCTTGTTAAGCTTAATGCTGATAACTCATAACATTACAGATTCGGAAAATATTGTAAATATTTGTTTTTTAACTTGACTATGTATCATAACTTTGATTTGGTAGACTTTGGTGCAGCAAAAATAAATTGTGGATGAAATCCTCTAAACAATACCATCAGTATGCTCAAACTTAAGCGTTTTAACTAGAATATTCTCTTTCAAGTTAAATCTCCCACTTTTAATAATTCCGTACATAAAGATGTCATTGAATAAATTTATATTTCTGTGAGTGGTGGGTGATTTTCCCACTTTTTTTTTTACTAGGTCTCAGTGTTTTGGTAATTATAAAAACTTAATCATAAGCGTAAGCTATTCAATTTCTGTCCCTTCTTTAGACCCCACTTCATTACCAATTTACAGACACTAAGCAATCTAATATATCTATCCATTGATTACTGTACAGTAACAGGTAGCATTCTGCTCTCCAAACCTTAACAATGACTGAATTTTGTCAGTTAAATTTATGATACAATAGTGGTTTAGATGACATGATAACATCATAACTAGGCTTGGTTTCAAATGACACGAATAGCTTAGTAGAAACGTCTCTAACTACAGTCCTGACTGATGCTAATCTATTCCACACAGGATAACCATTCTTCAAAATGTTGCTTATATGTTGATAACTCCTAACAAGTATGAAATATGTGTCACATAAAGACTCTTACTGATCACCTTTAATTATCTAAGCTCTATACGGGTGTCAGGTATAGGAATTCGACCGGCAGCAAGCCCTTGTTCAAATTTGTTTCCTTTTCATTAGATCCCCTCACTAAAATGTACTGGTGATCTATAAATAATTTATATTTCCCTTGAGACTTGAGTGGATAATCAATGTAACCGCCTAGGTCAGTAGACTGTGGTCAACGGCGAACAATTATGACTGGATAGCTACACTGATTACCCACCGACAACAAAACTGGGGTATAAGTAACCTATTTTACTTATTATAGAGAAATCGATTTTGTTTCATACTAGAAAAAAATAATCGTCAAGAAACAATTAAATTTGATTAATGGAATGAAGCAAGATAAATTTCCTTATCTGTCTTTATGAAATAAAGTTAGAATATATTTTCAAATTAACATAAAATAAAATTGTTATAAAAGTTGAACTACGACACTTTTGCAGTGCATAATTCCATGTTAATTCGTCTAAGGGGTATTTCACATAGTGAAATTGCACGACCAACTTGCCATACTCTGATACTCCTTATCGATAACTTTGACCTATTCATTTAACTTCACATTCGTTAAATGTGAAGCCATCGAGCACTAAAGAAGATGTCTCACATTACATTGAAACGTTCGCTAGCTAAAACCGCAGTTTAAAGAGCGACCCAATCTGAACACATCAAAATGTACTTTATATCATTCTTTAGTGACTGTTTAAACTTCACTAAACTCAACATTAAAAAAAATACACAAATAAAACCGATTACCTTAATTCTGCTCATACAATTTTTCGATCGATCTTGAACAGGTTGTTTTTAGGGTCTGTTTATGTGACTTTTAAACCCTTGAATAGCCAGAAACTGCTCTCCGTGGTACGATTTATAGTCACCTAACCAAATCCACGTAATTTGAAGAATTAAACGCAACCCAAGATGACTGAAACAACTAATGGGGATTTAAACCATTCTAATCTGAATGCCTAAATCCGCGGATCGCACTATACATTCTACTTAGCCGCAAGTACTGAAGATTAAAATTGCCTGATGAATGATTAGGCTCTATTCTCAACGTTCAACCTCCATGTGACTTAAAACATAAGGTCAGTAGAGTGAATACAAGGTCAACCGAATATCTGCTATACTTGGGTGGCCATAAGTCAACAGGAATCCAAACCTTCTTTCAAGCAGATGAAATATTAAGGCCCTAAGCGCTGAGCTACAGTGATATAGAACTAAAATCAAAAGTTTAAAAGCTTTTGTCTTTCAACTAAAGAAGACTTATAGTATTACACATCTAGTGAATAAAGTTGAATTCTAGTAGTTCAGCCGAAATTTTGTTACTACTTCGTACAACTATATGAAGGGTATGTGTGTGAAGTGTCTATGATAAACAGAGTTACCTGTTATAACAGCGATGTGTATTATACTGTATCACAAAAAGATCAGTTCTATAACCAGTAAGCATTACAATTTAGTTTACTGGTCACAGAGTAGGACTTCCCTTAACACGAGTCAGTTTGTACACTTTAAACAAATCTTGGAATGTGACAAATTAAGTTATTATTAATTTATTATCTTCAGTGGTGCCTCAGCTGTTATCTACATGTGATGTATCCAACTGACCTTCAAGTATATATGCTTATTGAACATTTTGTTTCAGACATGGAAAAAATTCTACCGAATTCAAGTATTTTCTTGCTTTAAAAATAATCATTTTTATGTCTACTACATGTAGGCTGTTGTAAATGGATTAATCACTTCAAAGATATCTATATAAGAAGGAAATATTTGCTGTCTCGGAGATGATAAATCAATGTCCAATATTGTTTGTAACAAACACAAATTTTGCATTATACTCCGTTGGAACATATTTTTTAAAATACTAGGATAAAATTAAGCGGAAACACCAAATGATTCAAATAAGCACTTGACAATTAATTTCCAATTCTTCTAAAAATTTATTCAAAATGCACTTAATCCTTTATCTTTTTTGAAGACATTGAAAGTGTGCATATTTTTGCTATGATAATTTGTTTTATTCATTGCAACTATTGTACATTGAGCAGTTTTAGAATTTGAACATACCTGTGAATCTAGTGCATGTGAATCCCTTCTAAATTGTTCTTCCATGAGTTAAATTGGAATTAAAGAAGTTGGTTATTGTATCATCAGGTTCATTTGGTTATATATTCAAATCAAAGATATCTCTTTGCAATATTCCCAGAACAAAAGTTTGTCCTCAAGATTAACAACAATTGTACTTATAACCTAGAGAATTAAATATTTGAACAACGTCGGCACGAACGCGTAGATAGTTTAAAGATATGTAATTTTCTTTTTACTTTTAGTGATTCAGATCAAAAAAGGTATTCCATTAAAGGTCGTTTCAGTTTCGGTTTCCTCATTCAGTTCAGTTCATAGTTGGATGGTAACGCACATTAATCACACTTAAGAATAATTAATAAAACATTTGCTTTACCTTTAAACTTGTAACGATGACCCGTTGCTCTTTTAATAAAATCAAGAAATTATGCAGAAAAAGCACTGACTTATACGTGCGACGTGACAATGTAGCGTCTTCTCATCAAAATCACACAAAGCGCTAATATATTTTAAATCACCACTAATATTCATCTATGTAGTTATTTAGCTTCATAAACTGAGGCAGTATTTTACTAGGATATCTTCTCCATTAATGGTACAGGAACAATAAATGATTTTTAGTCTTCAGTTTTCCAGCGATTCACCAGTTAATCAGGCCTACTGATCATCGGAACTGCGGAACAGTTAAATAATGAAATAATAATTAAAAAAAACCATTGAACAGCTTAAAACATTGATGCATAACAATGGTAACCAGTGTCTTGTCTCTAAATAGCATTTCAGGATGTAACTTTTCACCCATTTTACTGCAATAGTCAAAATATCTTTGCAACGATAAATAAATAAGGAAATTTTAATTTGGAGTATGACTGATTATTCAAATAACACACTAGTGCGGAGGCTGTCATATGAAATATAAACATTGGAGTGAACCCATTTGATTGTCGGAGAAGAAAAAAGACAATTACAGCGAAGAAAAAACCTTGTTTTCGACCAACTTATTCTCTTATCTGTAGATTTGTGAACTTATAGTAGAAAACATAGAACATTCCACAATAATTTCCGGTCAAACTTCAAGCTATCGCTCAACAAATATGCAGAAGGAAGTGGAGATGGATTGGGCATACACTGAGAAGGCCGACTGGGGACATCACGCACCAGGCCATGCACTCCAGTGGAACTCCAATGGGAAGCGACGAGTTGGGCTCCTAACTGAGAGTGACATGGAGGAGATTGTGTGAGGAGGAAATGAGAGCTTGTGGGTAGTGGTGGAGTCAGACTGAAAAGATTTGAGAGAAGAGAGTGTAATGGAGACGTGCTACTGAATCCTTATGTTCCATTAGGAACCCAAGGGACAAATAATAATCGTAATAATGATATAATATCTACATTTAGGGTAGGGAAATAAACAAATAATTAGAAAACAAAATGCAATTGCACCATAAGTCAGTCGTCTAAAGTGATTTGTGCTTCCTATTGGCCATGGCAAAGAAAGGAGTTAAACATG